TGAAAGTTATCATTAGCCCTGGAGCTGACTTCGGGGCTTCACAGCAGAGATAGGGAGGAACATTAAAGTGACAAAAAGTCGAGATGGGAGACAAAATAATGATTCACAGAGGTAAAAGAGACAGACAGACACAAAGGCATAAAAAGGTAAGATGAGTACTGTAGAATTGGTGGAATATGACATACAGTGGGGTCATGGTAGTTCGAAGTCAACTGCCGGTATATAGACTTTTTGCCTTATGAGTATACGTTGCTCAGAGTGCACCACGTGGAGGTAAGTCTATCGCACACCCAGGCATGAGAAAATCGATTGTATAAATAAAGATAATGGCAACTGCTTGCTTTAACAATTAACAACACGGCACATTGACCTTGAACTTCGTTTTATTCGTGTCGAGCATTTCACTTCGTCTATTTGAATTTGGAGGCTCCATTGACAGGATTACCTCTGTCTATCTCGACAGAACATTGTTAGAGTTTATGGGATAAAACTTTCTTTGCTCGAATAAACACTTCTCAAAATATTGTCCATTAATAATCACATTCAAAGGAAATTGCAGGTCTGCTATTTTGTGTTGTTTTGATGAAATAAATGGCTGATTTTTAAGGCTTCAAATAATTTTTTCCCATTTTATACCTATTCTAGGCTAATTCATTGAGGTATGCCCCATTTTGCTCTTTGTTTTGTTTAGTATTTCATTAGTTTTGTGTTCTTTTGTGCCGACTAATAAATTGTTCTATTCCTACTTAGTTTTCCATTTTTGCTTAACTCTACAGCAGCAGCTGTTAGTTATTAGTTATTACTTGCTCTTGGTGATCAAATGCACTCACCGAACTTCCTCACTAGTTGTCCTCCACTTTCAGATCGCTGTCCGTGTTCACCCAACGCGGCATACAACACGACCAACCCGCGTCTCCCACCGTTTCCGGAGCCATGCGAGTTGCAGCCGGAGGCGCGTCTCCGCCCTCGAATGCCTTCGCATTCCACCGCGTCTGGCTACACCGCCGCAGCGCTGAATGCTGCTACCGTCGCTCCAATCGCCAGGTTAGTCGCTTTTCTTGCCACCTTCTTCTTCCTACCTCCTTCGGATGGTAGGCTCAGTAATTGGTACCTCTCGACTTAAGAGACAGGGCTAAATTTGAATGATTCAGCCCTAAATAGGCTTAGTGGTTATAGTTAAATTTTACATCAACTCCTACAGTAATGTGTGAATTAGACCCTAAACAAGTTGAAAGGCGAAAATTTCCATTATTCAGCAGCTATGAATTTTTTTGCATTGATTTGCACATTGCACATTTATACGTTCTCAAAGGGGGGGGGGTTGAATTTCCCTAATCGATAGCCAATTAGAGCACACTGGGTGCATTTAGAGGGAGAGAGAAAGAGAGAGAGGAATAGAGTCCAATACCCATGCTTCTGGAAGGCATTCATTCTTTGTGTCACCTTCTTTCAAGCTGTCACTTTTGCAAGTAACTGCCATTTCACTGTGCATTCAAACAAAGTGCCTGCACCTATCCATTTAAAGTGTGTTTTTTTTGCACGCGTGTCAAATTCTGTCATAGCATAGCGTGGATTCCACATTGACAAAAACTACAAAGTTTACGCAGGTTCGCGTCCTTAGTCGATCGTGAAACAACGACAGTGTTCTTTTCTGCGTTGATTGATTGATTGATTGATTACATTTGGGAAGAAGAGGAGAGTACAACTTCTGTATTTCTACACTTCACTTTTGATTTGATTTGACCAGATAAGAAGTAGATCAATTTTATCGAACTAGTATGCTAGTCTCTTGTATTGCCCTTTTTCTTGCGCCCATTTCTTTGAAAACGTGGCATTAAATCGGAACTTCCGCCAAACAGGTATTTGCGAGGGCATTAAATGCATCGCTCAGTGACGTCATGTCTACTCTGCCAAGGTCCGTGTGGTCTAGGCACCTCTTTTATTTCTAGTTATCAAGCCTTCCCTTTTTATTGCCATCTTGTAATTGGTGCCAAATTTACTAGTGCCTTATTCCAGATATGATTGATGACTCGTTCTTCTTACCTTCTCACCTTAATTTCTTTCCATTCAAATAAACACCGTTCCTATAATTCCACTTTTTAAGCAAGTCACGAGGATCTTTCCACTTTCTTATGGACTTTTGCAAATCTGAACTACTTCTTATGAAGCGGCAAATCATGATTCTGGTAGTCTCAAATTAGTTGGGAGTGGCTATATGGTGAATGGAAATGTTGGCGTTTGTGCTTGTTCATAATATTTATATCAAATGGCAGGCTTTATGATAGTTATCATTAGCCCTTTAGTTGACTTCAGGCTTCACAGAGGGAGAGGAACATCAAATTGAAAAAATTCGAGAGCGGAGGGTGAACAGAAGAGTGTTTTAAAGATGCAAAAGAGACATACACAAAGGTAGAAAAAAGGTGAGGTTAGCACTGTGGAAGAAGTCGACAATGACATACAGTGGGGTGATGGTAGTTTGAAGTGAGAAGTCAACTGCCGGTTTATAGACTTTTTGGCGTATGAGTATACTTTGTCCAGGATGCACCACGTGGAGGTAAGTCTATCGCACACCCCAAACTGCTTATAAATAGTCAGTGTCTACGGCGTTATTTCGGCTCTGATAAAAAGAAAACGCAGTTAAAATTGATTTAGTTTATTTTAACTTTGAAATGCCCATTTCGCAATCCAGGCTCCAATAGCTTCTAGGAGTTCGTTAAAGGTGTGCCTTTTAGTTCATAAAGAACACTATTTTATGTAAGATTACCTAATTTTTCACAAAACTTTCAAAATTCCATTAATAACGTGCATTTGCTGCTCTTTAGTAAAAAATGTCCTTTGAGATTATATTAGGAATAAAGAATACGTTTAAGACCGGAAAATCATACTTACATTCAAATAACTTTCCATTTCAAACTCACTATTCAGCTCTCTTTTTAAAAACACATTTGTACTTAGAACAAAAATATGTCCACTTTACTATGGAAGTTTTTGATGTGTTCGACCTATCATTAGCGCAATTCCACTTCTTGAAGAGAAATCAGTGAAATAGAGTTTATCAAACTTCGCAAGAGACAAATCGAACACAAGAAAGTGATATTCTTCTCTATTTTAAATTGAAATTGATAATGAGGAACCTCAGTTGCACAATTTTTTCTTTCTTACTAAATACAGAATTGAAATAAATTATGAGGAGGGGGGGGGGGTAGAATTTAATTATAATTTATGGCTTTAAATGATGTGCTAGGCCAATTTCAAAAGGTCATCGATGCAAATAGAATTGACAAAATGTCACCGAATTTCCTTAAAGCAGTGCGATTGACAATGCAAGCTGAGAAGCGAACAAGTTCAATTTCTAAGCCTCTTGAACCAAGAGCCTTCCAATCCCTGGCATCAAATTTTAAATCACTGATCCTCTTGTTTGTGCACCATACCGCTTCATAGAGAGCCGCGTTCAATACCAACCTAATGGCTTTATATTACACAGACAATATCTGTATCATATTGACTTAAGAGCAGTGGCTGAGTGATCACTGCATTTGCTTGGATTTCAGGATCTGCCATATATTTTTTTCATTAATTTGGCTTACAGATTTATTTGTTTGCCTCTAACTTCATGCAGTCCCTGATATTTATTTATTTATTTATTTCAAATGGCAGACACTTTGATAGTTATCATTAGCCCTTTAGTTGACTTCAGGCTTCACAGAGAGGAGAAGGAATATTAAAGTGAGAAAAATTCGACAGTGGAACAGAAGAGTGATTCACAGATGTAGTATAGACAGACAGACTGACACAAAGGCAGGGAAAAGGCTAGACGAGTACTGTGGAAGGGGACGAATATGACATACAGTGGGGTCATGGTAGTTTGAAGTTAGAGGTCAACTGCCAATTAATAGACTTTTTGCCGTATGAGTATACTTTGTCCAGGATGCACCACGTGGAGGTAAGTCTATCGCACACCCCTTGTCAAAAAATACATGGTTTCCTGGTGGTCCTGCTCTCCAACCCGACATTAGCTGTCCACCTTTTCTCCATTTTAGCTACCAAGTATGTCAGATGCCTGGTCGAGCTCCAAAGCCGACTTGCATGGCCGCTCTACGGATGGCGGCGTCCTTCCAGTCTCCAATTTGCCATGTCCCACATCCTCAGTGCTCCTGGCCTTCTACTTCAAGCACTTCCACTGGAAGTCAGACCAAGTGTCAGGATGGCAGAGGTTCATTTTGAAACTACTCCCCTTTTATTGGACATATCCACAGTCATACTATAATTTGTTGCCTAAATCTACGGCGATGTAATATCAGGGGTTACGGAACTGGTTCGCCATTGTACACATCCAGTTAACTGAGCTGTTAATTGGCACTGGTGAAATTCGTGTTTGCCCACCTTCTCTACACCATCTGCACAAGAAGGGTGTTGTAAAAAGCTTGGGGCTTGGGGAGATTTTGCTATTATCTTTGAGAAGTTTTTCCTCAACTAAATATTTGCGAGATTGCTCACTAACATTCATGAGAAAAGGAAGCTTTTTAATAAGACACAACCTTTCATTTATTGGGTGAAAATGGTGTTAAGCTCTTGAAATTCATAGGCTCACAAAGGCAAAACTAAATTAAATAAGTATTGCAAATTGTGTGGAGATATTTTGTGCCTAACGAATTTCACTGGATAATATTTGTATGCAATTGAAGCATTCCAAACACTTTCAAATTCCGCCTTTCATTATCGCACTTTCGGAATTCTGTACTTTCATGCTAGGTTAACCAATAATTTCTTCCAATTCCGAAGCCATGCCCCCGGAAAAATATCTGCCTCCGTTATTGTTAAAGCCAACTTCTACAACTTTAGTCATGGGATATTGGTCGGAATTTGGGTAAATTGCTGAGGTATCCAATAAGAGGCGAAAGAATGTGCCGAAGAGGTGTATATAATGAGGTCACTCATAGGTGCTATAATTCACTTGCCAATATCCTAATTTCCAAGGTCACCAATGCCATGATTAAAGTTACGGTTTTTTAGGTGAGCTCTTGTTTGCAATGTACTTAGTTTGCTGACAGGTTGATTGGCTTGCCATGACAGTTAGATTCGTTTGTAGTTTTTACAACCATTAGTTGAACAAAGAATTTTTTAATTTGGTGCCTTGAAAATTGCCAAGGTCGATATTTTTTGAAATCATTGTTAAAAAATAAAAGAGCGAATTTCCCCACGTTCCGTTGGAAATTAGGCCCCCTTTTCACCCCCCTCTCGTGACAGTCAGCTGATTGTGATTAGGTTGTCATTACCGTCAAAATCGATACGCAAATTTGGGTGCATATTCGCATGACCATTTCGCGTATGTAATCGGGTTAATCTTTCCCACATGAGTTGCAAATTACATTAAACCCTAAAAATGGGTTGAGCACTTCGCCGTCACCCTACAGTAAATTTTATTTATGATACTTACAATTAAATAAGTAGAATGTACCTATGGTGTCGGCTTTGCGTTTCTATCATAATCTTTTTTTTCTGCTTCGCTTGCAGCTAGTCGATACGCCAAGAGCCTCTTCGTGTTGACGTGGGACATGCATTTGGTGGAGTATGAGCTTGTGGTGACACCCAGCGAGTCGAGTGACAAGGTCGGCCAGGTATGTCCAAAATAATTCCCTTTTTTTCCGTGTAAATACAATCTACGGAGTGACATCCAATTCCCCCACGTTTAGTTACTTGGCCAACCCCCCCCCCCCCCCCCTCCTTAAGACAAGACGATCTGAGTTTGATTCGGTTCCCCTTGTTGCCAAGTGTGCACGTTTACAATCTTGTGTGCTAATAGATGCGACTTTTTTCAAGATGTACACAGTGTGGGATTGTTTTGAGGTTCAGAAGAAGATAATCTGGGAGCATTGTTTAAAATTCTATGTCATGATATCTTGCCATCTCTCGTTGCCTTACCTAGTGTTTTTAGCCATAGCAGTTGCATTAGGTGTATAACGGTCAGCTAAGCTCTGCTTACATTGGATGTAAGAGAAGTTAAAGCAGCTTGGAATGTAGATCAATAAATACTGAAATATCTTCAATCCATTTGCTCATGAAAGGCGGCTCTACTCTCAGGCATTCACCAAGATCGAGTGGTTAATTGCAGTATAGGAGAACTGCATGCCCTGTAATATATATTTCTTGTGAATTGACATAGCCCCAGAAAAAAATGACTTACGGAAATATTCTTGTGGAAATTGTACGCGAATCTTTAGAGTGAAAGTAAATTTATACCAAGTGTATTGCAGTCGGAATCACTACTCCACAGTTGAATCATTCAAGTGTAGCTCATCCCTATCATTGTGCTGGGACTGAAGCCATTAAATTACAAGTATCTTCCACTGGCGAATCAACAGTCGAGACCTCTGGATTGTTCCATTTTGTCTGTTTGTTTAAAATGCCTCCTCGAAAGCCATACTCTCTCTCTCCCTCTCTCAACATAGAAGGTGGTGGAGATGACTGCGACTTAAATAATCAATGCGCTACCCTTGATTCGAGCTGAGCCAGATGTTTGCACAAAGCAACATTACACTCCAGTACTGGAGTTGAATTACTGCAAGTGCTTGGACGCAGTTTATTTGCACAGAAATAATTTGGCTTTTTATTTCTTGAGACTTTTTACGCTGAATAAGCTCACAGAAGTAGTGGCTCAACATCACGATTGTCACTTAGCTTCCACCAAACAAACGATCTAAGTTTATTCTACAGTTTTTTGCCTCACTGAATATGCACAAACGAAGGAGTTGATTGTTGTGGGAGGGCTCTCGATTTAGTTGGAATTTTCTTTCTCTCTCACTCTCAAGGCTCTACTTCCCTAGGCGGGCCCTATTTCACCCCCCACCCCACTTACCTCACTGTCATTCTTGAATGCGCCTTTTCTAGCGGCAGCCAATTTCTGTGTTCATTCAATATTTAAAACCTCTCTCTCTCTCTCTCTCTCTCTGGATTTGCTCTTCTGCTCCAGGCGGTGGGCGGCGGGAAGACTCCAAGGCTTGTGTTGTTCTTTGTGGCTTAGTTGAATATTTATTTATTTGTTTATGTCAAATGGCAGGCGTCTTGATGGTTATCATTAGCCCTTTACTGACTTCGGTCTTCATAGAGAGGAGGAGAAACATCAAGGTGACAAAAAGACCTTCAGGCTTCACAGAGGGGAGGGGGAACATCGAATTGAAAAAAGTCGAGATGGGGTGGGGGAACAGAAGAGTGCTTCAAGGATGTAAGAGACAAACACAAAGGTCGAAAAAGGTGAGGTGAGTGCTGTAGAAGAGGTCGAATATGGCATAGAGTGAGGTGATGGCAGTTTGAAGTGAGAAGTCAACTGCCAATTAATAGACTTTTTGCCGTATGAGTATACTTTGTCCAGGGTGCACCACGTGAATGTAAGTCTATCTAACACCCCGCAGTCCCAGATATCGAAAGTGACCAAGAAGTTTCCCAACTTTTGCTTTAGATTGAGTTTAAATTGGCAAAGCATTCCCATTTCAGATCCTAGACGTATCTATCCCCGCTAGGTGGTATCGTATTGTGTTGTTGGCAATAAATGTGCGAACTAAGAGGCTTTGGCTCTGCCCATCCCCCTGCAAGGAACGAGTCAATGAAGTATCCTATCAGCGAACACTCCCTCTCGTAGAAGACCTACCCTTGGAGATTCTTAAAAATATTCCAAAGGCGCCGAATACAACCCAATTTGAGGAAACTATCAGCAGTAAAGACTATTTGGTTATCACCATAGCAGCTGAGACCTCGAGAATATCTGTTCATTCAGAAGGTGAACCTACTAGTTTCTTCAACCTACTGGCTGCAATTGGAGGTCTGTTTGGACTCTATTTGGGTCTTTCCCTTGTCACCGTGTTCGAATGTATTGAATCTTACTATATCCTATTGTCTGAGGGTTTTGGAACATTCCGCCATGCATTTAAATCGTGGAAACGATTTGGGAGGAAGTTACTAACTCGTGAAAAGAGCCCGGAGTATGATGATGAGTATGAAGCCGATGCGAATAGATTAATAAGGTGGGTTGTCTAATTCGATCAATTTAAATTCACCGTTTAAGAATTTGTTCACTTAGGGACTTAGAGTCATCAAATTTATTTATATCAAATGGCAGGCGTTTTGGTGGTTATCATTAGCCCTTTAGTTGACTTCAGGCTTCACACAAGGGAAGAACATCAAAGTGGAAAAAAAAATTCGATAGGGGGAGCAGAAGAGAGGTTCAAAGATGACATACAGTGGGGTCATGGTAGTTTGAAGTCAGAGGTCAACTGCCAGTTAATAGACTTTTTTTGCCATATGAATATACGTTGCCCAGGATGCACCACGTGGAGGTAAGTCTATCACGCACCCCGAGTCATCAAATTTAAAATAGTTAAAAATGCCGCTAATACTCCTAAGAGCTCCATTAGCAAGACAAAGACATTAATTAAGGCCAACCTCGTCACCTTAAAGGTGCTTAAAAGGGAATTTTTTAGCCTGTTTAACATTATTTGCTATTTATTCACATAATAATGTCTGTTTCTTCTTAGTTCTCCCAAACCGAACACTGTTGTCGGAGATTCCAGAAGGTTAGCGCGGGGAGTTTTCTTTGTTTTAAAATTACTTAACTATATGAATTCTGTTACTTTTCAAAAAAAAGACAAAGTATTTAAAAGTATATACATTTGGCAGGGGATATCATACAAGCACGGAGGGTCACAATAGGTAAGAATTAATTTTATTTCATTGATTTTTGCTGTAAAAAACCCAGTTGAGTGTGCATTTTGGTATTTTTTCATTCCTGTCAGTGGGGCCGTAGATTTTTCACATGCCTTTGCTTTAATACGGGCTCAATCAAATGGTGACTGGGAAAAGACTAAATATATGAGAATTTTATTTTAAATTTTGAGGGTCTGATTTGACTGTTGAATCAACAGACAATGCTGACCGTCAGAATATATATATATATATCTGAAAATGCTGATATAACTCTACATACTATTTTTAATTTAACTTTTCAGTGCCTTAAAAAATACCTCGAGAAGTAATGTGCGCAAAAGGTGAGATTCCAAATTCGTATAACCTCATCTTAACCACTCACATGGATCTCATTATGTGGTATTTGTGTCCGCACTCGAGTTCTGTTTAAACTTCAATTTAGGTAGAATTCTTATCTACTATGGAGATAGAAATATTTAAGCCTAAGAGTTGGAACATTAATTCATACCAAATGGCAGGCTTTATGATAGTTATCATTAGCCCATTAGTTGACTTCGGGCTGCACAGAGGGGAGGAACAGCCAAAATCACAAAGGGTTGATGTGGGAGGGGGGAAGATGGAAACAGAAGATTGATTCACAGGTGTAAAGACAGACAAACACAAAGTGTAGAGCAAAAGATAGGGTGAGTACTGTAAAGAGGCCGAATATGACATACAGTGGGGTCTGGTAGTCTGAAGTCAGAAGTGGACTTGCGGTTAGAAACTTTTATGCCGTATGAGTGTACGTTGCCCATGGTGCTCCATGTGGAAGTAAGTCTATCGCCCATCCCGAGTTGGAACTTCAGATGTATTGAATTTATCCAGCAAAGGGCTTGCTAAAATTTCATTCGCATTTTTGCTTTCTAGTTTTTCGGAAACCACGTGAGTCGATGAGAACAAAGACATTTATTTTATTTACCATAAAAACTTATAAATTTAAAAACAATAATTAAAAATATATCATTTCGTTGCAGTCTCGGAACAGCACTTGTAATAGAACCTCCAAGGTAATAAATAAAACAATTTTGCTATCTCTAAATAGTTCAATTTAATTTGTTTTAATTGCATTTCATTATTTTCAGTCGTGGGGTGACGCTTACAGCAGCAAAAGAGCCCAATAGGTAAATAACAATTTTATTTTTCACTCTTTGATTGTTATCCACTTTGACTTGGTTTGCTCTGTCTCTCATGGCATAGAAAATATTGAGGGGAAAATCCCCAATTTGCTGCAATATTTTTGATATAGTTTAAAAAAATATAATAAAAAATTATATTTTCTCAAAATTTAACTAATAAGCACTAAATAACATTGAATAAGGACTGTTAGTACCCTTCTCCAGGAAAAGTGATTTGGAAACTACTTAAGATTAGCTTTAATTTAAAATTTTTTTTCAAATGCCAAGCTTTATGATATTTATCAGTAGCCCTTTAGTTGGCTTCAGCTTCCTCATAGGTGGGGCGGGGTGACATATATAGCAGTTAATTAATAGCACTTTAATTATAAAATATAAATAAGTAGCAGTATAAGGCATTAATTAATTGAAGTTCCGTCGATTACAGTGAAACCTCCCAAGTTCAAGAAGTTCGAAAGAGGTAAGCCTTCTGAGGCGTTTATACCAGTGTTCAAATATTAACCCCGCCATTAATGCATCGTTTATTTCAGAAGTGGAATGACAACTTACACGGAACAGGGTGCAAGGTATTATACGCAATTAAAAGCAAAATCAGCATTTATGGGCCTACCAAAAATAGTTCGACATGAGTGTCCATGAGTGG